ATCTAGAAACAAACATTTTGATCTCTGCCATCAAATCTTGGGTTATCTTTTGGCCGCGTGCTTCCCCACCTTTTAACTCCTTGCCAAAAGATTTTTCTTCTCATACTTCTTCAATATGATTTTCTTTAGGAAAAAATATAGGCCTCTTCGACGCTTTCAGTAAGTCCACCCTTTGGGTGGTTCAAACTGAGCTTTGATGGCAGTGTTCTTTTGGAAGAATAACATACTGATTTTGGTGGGTTCCAAAGATATCACAGAGGGGATGTTCTCTGGAATTTTAATGAGTCAATGCCTTTCTACGGTATCAACTACGTGGGCGCTTAAAAAAGGGGTTTTGAAGCTTCAACCTAATATTTATAGGATCATCTTTGAAAGCGACTCAACTAATGTTATAGTTTGATGCAAAGATCTTATGCTTGTGCCTTGGGACTTGGGCCTTGACCTCTTCTAGGAATATTATTCTCTGCTCGATCTGTTAGAGATGTCAGCTTTCAACATATATTCAAGGTGAGGAAATTTTTTTTTTTTTGAAAAGAGCAAAAGATATTGTTAAAGAAATAACAGAATTATAATGAAGGTACTAAAATAATGAAGGAGAAATAATAACAGAGCTCACAGAAACCTCTTTCTTAATCAGATCATCCACAACGCTATTGGCCTCTTTGTAAATATGAGCAAAGGTGAACTTTATGTCATTATGAGCGAAGCTGTCAAGGAGGTCTCAACGAACCTGTACACCAATTAATGGCATTATGAGAGTCACCTTCAATGATCAAATCTTCCTGGAGACCCTTATCATGATAAATCTCAAAACCTTGTAATAAGGCTGCTAATTCAGCATGATTGCCAGTCGTTATACCAAAAGGGCATGCATAGCAAAAGATAATTTCACCTTCACTACCTCGACAAACACCTCCCACTCTTGAATTTCCATGATCTCCAAAGGAAGACCCATCAAAATTCAATTTCATACAATTTGTACCTGGTGGCTTCCATGTATATCTCGGCCTGATCGTGCGAAATCTTTGCGAAATAAGCTTATCCAAATTGTCATCAATATCATACTTTGAAGTACCCCAACCTTCCTTTATTACTTTAAACCAACTCCAAACACAGAATTGGATTTTGTTTTTTAACTCATTCATTCCTAAGGCCACCCCATCAAAAGTCATTATGTTTCTTTCAAGCCAAAGCTTCCATATCATTGCACCGCTTAAGATATCCCATAAAATCCCCCCAATTTTTGGAATTCCACATAATTTCAAATTTTCCAACCAAGATAGAACAAAACAAGGTAAGGACATAACAACAGCCACCCTTTGCATTGCCCAACACCATAACTGATACGTATAGGGGCAATGTAAAAACGGTGATCAGCAGTCTCCTCATCTTGTTTGCAGAAAAGGCACACATTCACAATTATCTTTCATCTTTTTCTTAAACTATCCAAAGTTAAAATTTTCTTTTGTGACAATACCCAAATAAAAACTTGCACTTTATTTGGAATTTTCCATTTCCATATGCCCTTTAAATCTGATTGGTTCTTCCATCTTATACAATCATGGAAAATAGGTGATATGAAGATTTCACATAATACTGACCATTCATTTCCAATTCCCATAAGCCCTCATCACTTGCCGAATTTGAAAGATGATAACCATCCAACGTATTCAACAAAGCTACATATTGATCCGAAACTCTATGAGGTATACGCTGATAAGTACAATTGATATTCCAACAACCGAATTCCCTATTTTGACTCCAACTTAATTTATCTTGGCCATCAGATTTGAACTCACAAATCTGGATATATCCATTTGAAAAGTATATTTGTAGCCCATTTTGAATGCCAAAATAATGACCGATCATCTTTCCCAACTGTTCGCCGAGAATTGCCAGGAAAAATAATCTCATTGAAGATATAGCCTTCCATTCGTATGACCGATCCCTCCGATGTCCATGTGGCACAATATTATTGCAACAATCATAACGATATTTTGCCTTAAGTACATCATTCCAAAGGTCCCCATCAGATTGCATCGCACGCCACCACCACTTTGTCAACAAAGCATAATTGACAAATTTTAATTTTTTGATACCCATTCCCCTTCAATTTTTGGTGTACACACCCTATCCCAACTCACCGAATGATATTTTTTAACATCCTTATCTGAAACCCATAAAAAATTCCTCATTAGTTTTTCTAATTGTTGATTATATCACCCGGTATGCTAAGTAATGACATTTGATAAAATGGCAAATGCGATAAGGATGATTTTATCAATGTAACTCTTCCTCCAAGAGATAAGTGCTTTGACTTCAAAATATCTAATTTCTAATTGGCCCTTTTCACCACAGGATCCCATACTGCCTTTGGTAATATACGATCTGACAAAGACATTCCCAAATATGTAATTGGAAACACCTCAGTCTTGCATTTCATAAAATCAACCAAATACGATAGAACCACTCACTACAACAAAACCCAATAAAAATTTACTTTTAGAACCAATGCAAATTTATAACATCTAAGAAACCTCTTGATACACAGAATTTGTTGTACCTCTGCCCTACAAAATAGAAGAGTATCATTTGTTAAGCATTTTCAAAAGGCTTTCTCCAGTGAACTACTCTGTAGAGTTGACTTGGACGGAGTTCCTTTTAAAATTAAAAATACTACCTTTGCATATTGCTTCTTATTTGGAACGGAAGGTGGATATTGAGGAATTAAAAACCGCACTTTTTGCATTAAGCATCAGGGCCAAATGTTTTCCACTTACGTTTTTTCATAAGTTTTGGCTACTTGTTAAGTCTGAACTTTTATTGATGATTAATGACTTTATGCAGAGTGGAAAGTTGGATAAAGGGATCAACACAACTTTTATTGCGTTCATTCTTAAGAAATCAACTATTGCAGGCATTAATGATCTCAAACCAATAAGTCTGTTGACTAGGTTGTATAAAATTATTTCCAAAGTTTTGGCTGAGAGACTCAAAACAGTCCTTCCAAATGTGATTTTTGGTACTCAAAGTGCTTTTATTAAGGGAAGGTTGATAATGGATGGTGTCTTGATAGCTTAGGAGTATATTCATACACGAAAAGAGAATGATATGCCAAGTGTGCTCATAAAGTTAGATGTGAAGAAGGCATATGATAGGGTAGAATGGGTTATTGTTGATGAAATTTTAAACTATATGGGTTTTGGTTAAAATTGGAGAAAATGGATATATGGTTGTTTGTCCAATGCCCATTTTTGAATCTTTGTAACCTTCTTTGGATAAATCGACATGGGCCTATGATGTCCTCTACGATTGCCATGTGTCCATCCCTGTTCTCGAGATACGGAATGGTGTTTACCCACTATTAGAAGTCTCTCTGTCCACTGTCTATGAGTAGGTAGGCTGGAACCCTTTGATAAACCATTATGGGAAAGAAAATCAAATCCTTAACATAATATGTTACCTTAATATTATTAGATACATTTTTGGAAATTAAAGCCTCAAAATACAGCCTTTCTGTCACTTTCAATCCTTCAATAATAACATCAATAAAAAAATCTTTAGAATTGACAATCAAACAAATTTGTTTTGGGAAGGGTGACAATTTATTTATATTCACCGTAATCCGTGTAAATGAATTATCACAACCATTAACAACATCCCATTCAATTCCCAAAACATCTCCACAATGATTACCTAATTGTTGAGAAACAACCAAATTCCAACCATGTAAAGGGATCCCCAAAATTTTACCAATAGACCTGTTTTGGAACCAAAGATGTATGATCACCACTTTTCCAAACATCGATTGCCAATAATCTTCCTTATACTCTCCAAAAGCGGACTTGAAGAATACGTTTGATCTCAAGATCCAAAAGCAATTGGAAACAAAACCTATTACTACCCAACCATTTTACTTTTGGTTCATGAGATAATCTCCAAGCATGTCTAGCTCAATCTCCCAAACCAAAGAGATATTAAGGATGGGAGAAAGAACCAATCAAAGTATAAGAAACTTGTCGGCAATATTCACTAATTTATTCTTTATTAAGAATAATAGAAGGGATTTCTCCCGTCTCACAGTAACCAAAATCCCCCATTTTCTCTGACAAATTGAGTTAGTCAAAAGACCATTGAATTGATCTCTCCTCTCTAACTCTCTTTCTACACTGCAAGTTTATCTAAGAAGGCAATGGTGGGCGTAAAAAAAAAAAAAAACAAATTATATGCCTCTGTTAGATGTTTTTCTACTTACTATCTCTGTTATATGTTTTTCTACTTACTATCTTTCTCTTTCTCCCCTCCCCTTTTCACCATGTAAGTTACATTTCATTAGCTTAATCAAATCTTATCATTTCAAAAAAAAGAAAAAACATATTTTTTAGACGAGAATTTTATGTGAAGCTTTACTTTGTTTTCATAAAATGTAGGCCTTATAAAAAAAGGTGCGGTTTGTATAGAGCCTAGGCACAAAACAATCAAATTGGAGCCTAGCTTCAAATGGTGTCGAGAAATATAGTTTCAATACTCGAAATCTTTGTGATAGCCTTAAAATATATTTTTATATTTATTTATAAAATTTAAAGCCTAAAAAATAATGTAGATCGACATATCTATGAGAACTTGAAAATCTTGAAGCTTGATCGAAGATTGATAATAAAAAAATCGTTATAAAATACACTATTTTTAAAACTTAAAATCCAATTTTTTCTGATGTCCATGCATTTTGATGTTGAGATAATCACTTTGAGGATATTTAAACACAAAAACAACTTTTTTTAGTAAAATTTTTTTAGATAAACCTAAGTTTGATTGTTTATAACTTCTGCTCTATATAAACTTTCCCCAATAAAAAACTTCATTTCATTCTTGAATTGTAAATTTCAATGAGATATGAAGTAAGGCCGTACTTACTTTGTTTTGATAGGACTGCCGCCCAATGAAACCGTTTTCCTCCTAAAAAGGATTATAAAATTGTCAGTCCACGGCCTATACCTTAGTTCACAAGCAATGCAGCCCCTCGTTCATCTCTTTGTTTGTCTTAATCATTGACCTCCAAATCTCTTCCATAGACGAATACATCATCAAATCACCCGCACCCATATCTCTTTCAATTCTTAACTATCCCAAAGCCTCTGTACTCCTCACTCCACTCCACTCCACTTCTCTCGTATTTGTTCATGTAATAGAGAGAATCAGTTGAGTGTGTGTTTTTCAACCAATTTGAAATGGGTCATCATCCTTTAGGTCCCTGTCTATCACAATGGCAGAGTTCCAATTAGGGTTTTTGCCCATGGTAGAAATGGTGCCTCTAATTGGGTCTTCCTCCTCAAGTGCATCCACCTCACTTTTTGCGCATTCTCTTCCCCATAATTCCAAGGTATGCTTCTTTTTCAGATACTCATTCATGGCAGTTCAGATAATTCAGGAGAGAGAGAGAGAGAGAGAGAGAGAGAGAGAGGAGGAGTA